GGAAAGATCGCCGGAACCCAGCAGGTCGAGGCTACAGTGGCCAGGAGCGGCCACTGCACTCCAGTCTGGGCGACAGAGTGAGACTCCAACTCAAAAAAAAAAAGAGTAGCCTAAACATAAATTTCCTAACCAGTCTATAAATCTGTGCTCTAAGATCCTGGGCACACAAAAGAGCTCACTATTCAGGATTAGTGAGGAATTCTGTGGTTATCTACCCATCAATTACCATAACTAGGAGCAAAGGCAGGTTTTTTCAAAAGACAATACCAAGCATAAAAGTCTAACAAAACATTGAGCACTTTTACAAATAATCACTAATCTCACCATTGCCCGTATGCCGCAATGATGAAGAGGATATACGAAATCATATACATCGGCTTGTATCCGAGTTGCAGGGCAGTCCGTTCCCAGACATAATTCATCAGCAAATATATACAGATTTCTGTCCTGTGCACTTGAGCTAACTGATAACATCACCCAGTCCATAGAACAACTTATTTTCACTGTGGAAAGAAGCATATGAAAAAGTGTAGGGTATGTATCTGTCTTAAGGAAGCACCAAAGAATATTCACCTCTGCCCTTTTTGGTCAATTAAAAGCATTTATTTATCTGGCAGGGGTAATCATGGCCTAAAGAATAACATACAAAAGGTTATTATATGACCTCTATTTTCCAAAATATCTGCCTAATTATCCCTCCAGATAACTAGATTTTAGTTATTTCACAGGGGGGAAAAAACTCTACATGCAAGGATAAGAAAAAACATAATCATATAGTCCTTTGCTCTCTCCTAAAGAAATTAGGTTCCATCAAGAGTGATATATTTAGGAAGACACATAAGGGATAAAAGTAAATTGCAATGCATTAGAGTAAAGATGACATCTTCCCAGTATACTTTTAGAGAGGGAGAAAGGGAAAGGGTGGTGTTAGACTGATAGAATTCATAATCTAGAGCTGCCAGAACCAGAAACAATCTAAGCCTTAAGAGGAAATAGTCTGAAGATAGAAAAGACATTATCTAGAATGGAATTTCTATAAAAGTTTTGTCGTAAAACCCATCCTTACCTTCTATATTTAAATCTTTAGTAAATCAATAATAGTCATTATTGGTAATAGATTCATTTGGAAGAGCTGAGTCTTTTTGGTATAATATATACATTTATTATTTATATTATTTATGATTAATGAGCAAGTGGCCTCAGAGAACACCAACAACATTGGAGCCTGGAAGTCTCTGGCCTTTAGAGATAAATCGTTATCAAGAGGGTAAGACAATGCATGTTTGGGAAAAGGTGGGGTTGGAGACAGCAGGTGTTCTGCATCAGGGATCATAACCTCCAAACCACTTCTCCTTGTGTTTGAAATGTTATTCTGACATCACCTGGAAAAGATGATCAGAGAGATCCTTCTTAAAAGAAAAAAAAAATTCAGCAGCTGGGATTAAAGATGGATGCAAAATAATAAATGGGCATGGACACACAGGAAGCCTACTCTTTGGACTGCACTTCATTTTTTTCACAGTACTATTTGAAAGTCAAGTTTTAGTTTTACATTTCCAATAGCTGAAAAAGTATTTGAGATAAAGCCTGAGGAACACGCTAGTTACATTAACTGCAGCAAATTCCTTGCATTCAAGCTTCATGAACTACCTAGCCAGGGCCTGAACTCTCTTCTCAACCCATCCCAGATAGCCAGAATTCACCATTTGCTGCTCTTTCTCTCCGTGTGCTGTTTATTTCAATAACGACCTGCCACATGGTAAACTGCACTAACCTAGGCATTCTGAAAGACTCATCTCAGGTAAAAATGGAAGTACATGTAATCCTTGCTTCTCAAGGGTTTACAGACCAAACAGATAAATAAGAAATTTACATTTCATCCCACTCCAAAAAGAACCCGCTTCAAACAGAAGAAAACAGACAAGTCTACTTAATGAAAGAGAGAATACAAAAAGGAATAATGAAATGCTCTTTAGAGTATCAGAGGCTGGGAAGTATTTAGATTTTGGGTAAAATAGAAAAGATATTTTGAAATTAACTTGTAGAGAGCACTTTGATTTAGCTTTATACGACTGGCTTTGCAGAACCATTGATGAGTTTGACATAAATGAAGTTCAGAGCAAAAAAGAGAACAAAAGAGGCTGAGCATGGTGGCTTTTGCCTGTAATTCCAGCACTTTGGGAGGCTGAGGCTAGAGAATTGCCTGAGCCCAGGGGTTTGACACCAGACTGGGCAACTTGGTAAGACCTCATCTCTACAATAAATCAAGAAAAATTAACCATATGTAGTGGCGCATGCCTGTAGTTACAGCTACTTGGAAGGCCGAGTGAGAGGATCACCTGAGTTCAGCAGGTCAAGGCTGCAGTACCCATGAGTGTGCCATTGCATTCCAGCCTGGGCAATAGAGTGAGACTCCAACTCAAAAAAGATAACAATATTATCAAGTGGAAATATGAAAAGTCTGTAAGCAGAAAGGTCAATTAAGATACAACCAAGTATATTACAATATGATATAATCAAGTACCAGTAATTGGCAGTAGGTTTGAACATTAGACTAAAACATATAGCCAAGGACCATTTCTGAAGAATCTCTGCAAAGGAAGATTGAGATAGAGAGAAGACCAAAACAGAGAGAGAAATAAAAGCCTGAGAACGCAGACATTTAGGGAGAAAAATAAAATGTCTCTTCAGTATATTGACACAAGTCTACTTGGCCTGAAAGTGTTTCCCTTCTAGAAAATTATAATAAGATCAGATCTTTGCAGGGAGGAGAAAACCTGTATGGAGAACTACCATTATATTAAAAATCACCCCTTCTAAAACTGGTCATTTACCATCGATAGTCACAGCATCAGACCAAATCAAGGTAACAAGAAGAATCAGTACTTCTAAAGTCATAGAGTCCTTCATCTGGGCAGACCTCCAACACAAGACTATCCAGGAAGCAGAAAATGGTGACTGATTTAAATGATTTTATGTGGTTCCCTAGACTCAGCTGCCTTCAATTACCTACTTAACTGGGTAAGCCACGGGGCAAAATTATCACAGTGTAAACCACCCAAAGGCTGAGGCTCTCCTGATTTCCAAACACCGAAGGTCAAAGAAGCTTATCAGGAAAAAATAAATTAAAAATTTTATTTAGTAACTGTCTTTACAAAGCCTGTTTAAAAAAAAAACTGGGAAGCTGGCATCACATGTAACACTTCCAATAAACACTAAATTGTAGGATCCTGTTTTTACTACTTAATGTTCAGGTATCATAAGTTTCTAATATGTGAAAAACCTAAATATTACATATTTGAAAACAAAAGGGTATTATTTGTTCATTTCTACAGGTCTGGCTGAAAGAATCAAAGCAGAAATGGTAAAATGACTTGACCAGGAACATCAATCTGTAGGAGGAGAAAGGGGCCCAAAGAAAAAACAGCTCTCTCAGTTTGAGAAGATAAGAAATTCTATTTCCGTTTATTCTTTCTAAATTAGTGTTTTAGTTATTTCAGTCATTTCAAGCCTTATACTTATAGGAGGACATTTTATACATGTACACAACATATACAAACATAACTTTATATGTATAATAAATATATATTCATTTTAACACTCAAGTGGAATAAATGTTCCAGTTATAGATTTTTATTTTCTAGCAATGTCAGTCATGGTGTGAATGTGACTGTTTAGTTTCAAGGGAAGTTGGAAATCAAAGGTTGACAGTAAATAAAATCCAAAGAGTCTGAATTAAATGCCTGTTATTGTTTTAGTCATATCTGAATTATATTTTCAATGTTACAATCTGCCCTCAAATGAGTATGCACAGGGCTTCCCTATGTGTTTAAAAAGGACTTCTACTTCCAATGTGACATTCTCTGGTGGACAACGAGATCCCCAAAGCTGTAACACACACAGTGCTCTGCATCAAAAGGGCCGGAAGGATCCAGTCACCAACCACAAAAGGGAAAGATTATTGGAGAAAGACAAGGGTTAGTCCACATGTTTTTTGGTTGTTTTTTTTTTTTTTTTTTTTTTTTTTTTT